AAGTCTGACCTCCTGCACGTCATAGCTACGCCCACTACTTCATTGTCAGCTTTGCACGAGTTGAACATGCCTTTTCTTCGCATGTCGCTGCACTCATTATGCGGCAGCATCACTCATTTCAGGCACATCTAGCAGTCGGGAGAGAGTGGGAAGATAAGTTCAGAGTCTGGGATGTGCCGCGCACTTTTGCGCAGATGCAGCAGCGGGCCTCAGCCACGATCCGTGGCGGGTCGAACCAGGTGCTCACGGGGCGCTGTGAATATTCCCTCCATGCATCCACACAATTCATCACCAACACACACACACACACACACACACACACACACACACACACACACACACACACACACACACACACACACACACACACACACACACACACACACATTCGGAGAAGTGCAAATATTCTGGTTTGAAACTTCGTTGCCTTCACCATCTTTGCGTCAGTGTCATGTCACCCCTTCACACGATCACCAACACCATCACCATCACCATCACCACCACCACCGCCACCATCACCACCACCATGGCCTGTGTGGGTGGCTTCGTCAGGCAAATGGCAGCGAATCTGCAGGAGTTGGAGCAGGCGCGCAGCAATTTCAGAGAGGCAGGCACCATCAAGGTGTTGTGACATCATGCAATGCACATGGTGTGGAGGAAGGGAAGATCGGGAAGATAGGGGAAGGAAGAAGGGGTGGCAGTGTTCAACTGCGTGCTGCGGTTGTGGCGGTGTCTCCTGCATTGTCTTTTCAGACACGGGACCGCTCTCATTTCTCAGAACACACACACATACTCACACACACGCATACACATACACACACTCCATCATCCTCTCCTCCTCCCCTCTCCTTCCTCACTTTCATCATTGTTCCAGGGACGCGTCAAGCACGTGATTGGGATATGTCTGTCCTTGTACTGTGTATTCAAGGTCACAACGGCCACAATCAGCGTCATCCTTGTACGTGTGTGTGTATGAGTGAGTGAGTGAGTGAGTGAGTGAGTGAGTGAGTGAGTGAGTGAGTGAGTGAGTGAGTGAGTGAGTGTGTGTGTGTGTGTGTATGTGTGTGTGTGTATGTGTGTGTGTGTGTGCTTGCATGGTGGTGGTTGTGGGTGGCCTTGCGTGTGCATCAACGATTGCCTGCAGGCAAGCATTTTATCCGCAAGCACGTGGAGGGCATCAGCGGGCAGTCGCAATCCCAATCCACCACTTGTTTCCTCCACACTCTCCTCCTCTCATGCTGCCACCATCCACCACGACTGCCATTCCACAACCCAACCCATCCCCCGTTTGATTGGTGTTGCGTGTGATGTGTTTGCGCAGGGCCTGACGAAGAAGACAGACCCTGTGACGCGGTTGATGAAGATTGGCGTGTCGCTGCTCGGGTTTGACATTGACGTGGAGCGTTGGTCGCAGCAGTTCTCCTTCATCCTCGTGAGGCGCAATGGTGGTGGTTGATGCAGTGGATGTGTTGTTGGTTGTGTTGTAGGTAGTCGTTACAGTTGTTGGTTGGTGTTGTTGGTGGTGTTGTTGGTGGTCGTTACAGTTGTTGGTTGGTGTTGAGAGTGATGAGATCGGTCTCGGGATCGTGGTGAATGTACTTGTTGGCACAACAGGTGCATGTGTTTGTTGACCCAACAGGTGAATGAGACTACGAGCATGTGGTGCCCTGATTGCGCATTCAGCCGCTTACCAACCAACCACCACCATCACCACCACCAACCATCAACCCGTCATGGTTGACGCGATTGACTGATTTGTGGGTGGGTGCAGGTGGGCATGATTGTGCTTGCATCGACACGGAACATGCTGCTGAAGATGGTGAAGGCGTTTTCTGTTGTCGCGGGTGCGGGGCGCATCAAGGACGCCGTGCTCTTTGTCCTCGTCCACATCATGGTCTGGGGGTGGGGGTGTATGACTTTGGTCGTGGTGGTGGTGGGGGTGGGGGTGGTTGTGATCGTGGTGTGTGTGTGTGTGTGTGTGTGTGTGTGTGTGTGTGTGTGTGTG